AAAAGTAAATTAAAGCATCCATATCCTAAAACAACGCAACACCACAACTAACTAACCCTTAGCTTTAACTATAAATACTACCATTGCCCATCCATAATCATCAATCTTAAGGAATTGAAACACTACATCAATAACAAAAACAACAAACAATAAACAATGTCGGCTGCCAGAAGTTGGTTAACGTTGCAGTGTGTCTGGTGTGCATGTTTGTCCTCACCGTCGACGCTTCGCTTTCTTCGGTTTACCAGTCATGCTTCGATCCATGCCATTCTGCTTGCAAAGACACAGGAAAAACCGTCTTTGCATGCGGAAAAGAATGTGAAAGGGGATGTACAGACAAGGCGTATAAAGGTATATATAGTTATAGTTATATTTATATATTAAATTAGTTTTTTTTTTTCATTAATAATTTTGTGGTTATTTTGTAATTGCAGAGGGCAAGCTTAAGGACGAGAGCAAGGAACTTAAGGAAGAGGAGAAGGAACTTTGGGCCTTTCAGAAAAAACAAGTTAAGGAGTATATGGACATGCGTTGCAAGGACTTTGAGAATAAGCAATGTAAGGACGACGACAAGGAATGTAAGGACGAGGCGAAGTTCTGTAAGGACATGCATATGGCCTTTAAGGAGAGAAACAAGCAGCTTAAGGATGAGGACAAGCTTCTTAAGGACGACAATAAGCTAGTTAAGGATGAGGAAAAAACAACTTAATTAAGGATGGGAATAATAATAAAGCAATCTATTATATTTAATGTGAAACATCATAAGATTTCTATATTTGAAGTCAAGATTGTATTCTGAGATAGTGGTGGTACGGTTTTTCTTGTCACCCCTATCATGTAAAGACTATATGTCACTTTTGTAATAGTTGAAAGTAAATAATTATTTTATTTTTTTTTCATATTAAAAATAATATTTTTATAATTTTCTTATAGCACTAATAATTTAAAAAGTAATGTTTAAAAACTTCAATGATATCTAAACTAATTAAAACATAATTGAAGATAACTTTTAATTAATTTACAATAAGAAAATGATGAAAATATTATACATGTTTAAAGAGATCAAAATATTATTTATTTAATTATAATATGATTATATGTTTAAATTATTAATTATAAATAATGTGTTTGATTTTATTTTCACTGCAAAATGTACTAATATTGTTGATCACGGATCTTTTAAAATGCAATGAAATTCCCCTTCACTCTCTTTTTAGTCTTACAGCAAATTATGAAGTGCTATAATGATAATATATTAATATTAAGACACATATATGTTCCATGCGCACCTTAAGTAAATGATCAAAAGCGTACCTGACATAACTAGGGTCAGGCTTCTGTTTTAGCTAGCTTCACTTGGCAGCGACCGGCTCCGTAAGCGTACCTAATATAACTAGGGTCAGGTTCCTGTTTTAGCTACCTTTACTCCTTGGTGCTTGGTGCGGGCCTGTTCCGACTCTGCTGGGGAGAGATCCGCTCGGCAGCGACTGGCTCCGTGTAGGAGCAGCGCTCGGGTGGCAACCTATTTGGGCAGGACGCCCATGATGGTAGCAAGGTCGTCGCCCTTGAAGGAGTGTCCGAACCTTTTGCTGCATGTGCCTTTTTTTGGTCAGTGGTAAATGCCCATTTTCTGAAGGCCCAAATGAGGTCATCAACGGTTTGATTCTTCAGGAATGCCTGGAATACCCATTTGGTGCGGGCCTGTTCGTGTTCCGACTCTACTGGGGACGGCTCGTGTTCGACTCTGCTGAGGGAGAGATCGGCTCGACAGCGACCGGCTTCGTGTAGGGAAGGGAGAGATCGGCTCGACAGCGACCGGCTTCGTGTAGGGAGCTGGGCCCGGGTGAAGGATTCGTGAAGGATTCAGTCAAGCTTGTTCAAACACCTTGCTGCCTTTTTCGTCATTTGTGTCGTTGGTCAGTGGTAAATGCCCATTTTCTGAAGGCCCAAATGAGGTCATCAACAGTTTGATTCTTCAGGAATGCCTGGAATACCCATTTGGTGCGGGCCTGTTCGTGTTCCGACTCTACTGGGGACGGCTCTTGTTCCGACTCTGTTGAGGAGAGATCGGCTCGGCAGCGACCGGCTCCGTGTAGGGAAGGGAGAGATCGGCTCGACAGCGACCGACTCCGTGTAGGGAGCTGGGCCCGGGTGAAGGATTCGTGAAGGATTCCGTCAAGCTTGTTCAAACCCCTTGCTGCCTTTTTCGTCATTTGTGTCGTTGGTCAGTGGTAAATGCCCATTTTCTGAAGGCCCAAATGAGGTCATCAACGGTTTGATTCTTCAGGAATGCCTGGAATACCCATTTTGGTGCGGCCTGTTCGTGTTCCGACTCTACTGGGGGAGAGATCGGCTCGTGTTCCGACTCTGCTGAGGGAGAGATCGGCTCGGCAGCGACCGGCTCCGTGTAGGGAAGGGAGAAATCGGCTCGACAGCGACCGACTCCGTGTAGGGAGCTGGCCCGAGTGAAGGATTCGTGGAAGGATTCCGTCAAGCTTGTTCAAACCCCTTGCTGCATGTGCCTTTGGTCAGTGGTAAAGGCCAATTTTGTGAAGGCCCAAATGAGGTCATCACCGGTTTGATTCTTCAGGGAATGCCCGGAAAAAGGCACCTGTTGCTTTGATCGGTGGTAGAGGTGAGGCGTGACTCGGGTCGTTCATCTTAAGCATAGCCTCTTGGGCACTAACGATCTTAAACATAGCCTCTTGGGCACTTTTGGCCTCCTTCTTCACTGCCGATAGGGGCGGACCTCCAGCATGCGGGGCAGCTGCCCCCCTCATCGCACCCCCCACTCCAAATATAACCCTTGTATGTATATATGTATATATAGTACCAGTTTTAGTATGAGTATAATAAAATAGATAAAAGTTAATATAATATGACTAGATTAGGTGGTAAGGTGCTCGTGCCATCTTTTTAAGATGCCAGGGTTCATGTTATATTTTTGTATGACTTTATTATATATATAACTTTCTTTTATCTTTATATATATATAACTTTCTTTTATATTAATAATGAGATGTGTTTTATAATGTATTTTTTTTCGAATTATTTTATCAAATACGTTTCGCCCACACTGAAAAGGTTTTTTGGGTCCGCAACTGGCTGCCGACCAATTCTCGGTCGCTGACTTGAGCAGGATCTTGAGGTACTTAATCTCAACCTCCTAGAGGAGAGACGGGCTTCTTCAAGGGTTCGATCTCCTCCGCGGCCTTGGCTCTGCTGTAGAAGGCGGTGGAGAATGCGAGTCAGCTGCATAAAGGATCAAATAATTTTACCGGAGCAAACAGTTAAGAAATATAGAAATGCGAGGCGCATACCCTGCACCAGATCTTCGGCACCCGTTCACCAATTTGGTTAACCGTCCAATTGTGGCATATCCTCGCCCGGGCAGATCAGGTCGCTAAGGTTGCCCAGGAGGGCAGCTGGTTGCTCACTGCTCAGTCAAACATCCACCACTGGAGTCCGGGCCAGGGGTGGTAACGCTAAGTCCGTTTCAAGGGAGACACCTCCTCGAGGTTAGAGTTAGTGGCATTTTCCTTACCCCTTTTGCTCTAAACCCGGAAGGCGAGCAAATCCTGGCCCGAGTTGGTGAGTTGTCTCGTGGCCGTGGCGGCTAGGGGAACAGCGGTCGGCACGGTTGGCTCGCATGGATCGGGCACCGAGGAGCTTGCCTTCTTTCTGCTTAGGGGGGGGGGGGGGGGGGGGGCTTCAGAGGTGCTGAGGGAGGGGTGACAAAACCTCTACCGAGCCCCATATGGGCAAAACAAAGCAACAACATTAGTATTATTCATTTATACTCGCTCAACACAATAATGACACAAACACGATAAGGCTAAACACGAACATGAAATGTTAAGGTTAACGGGTTTAACTTCTTAACACGAATACAAACACGATTTGTAAACAGGTTTATACGATAGACATATTTTTTTAATAGATTTTGGGTTGTGTCGACACGATATGACACGAAACCCGTTTAAACCAGCTAAACCTAT